ACAGCGTACAGATCATGCATAGTCGGATTTGGCAGCTGGTTCGTGTGTTTGTGTGTGCACGTGCGCGCGTGCCTAGGAGACTGCATAGTCGGATTTGGCAGCTGGTTCGTGTGTTTGCGTGTGCACGTGCGCGCGTGCCTAGGAGACTGCTAAGTCGGATTCGGTAGCTGGTTTGTGTGTGCACGTGCGCGCGTGCCTAGGAGACTGCATAGTCGGATTCGGCAGCTGGTTCGTGTGTTTGTGTGTGCACGTACACGCTTGCCTAGGAGACTGCATAGTCGGATTCGGCAGCTGGTTCGTTTGTTTGCGTGTGCACGTGCGCGCGTGCCTAGGAGACTGCATAGTCGGGTTCGGCAGCTGGTTCGTGTGTTTGTGTGTGCACGTGCGCACGTGCCTAGGAGACTGCATAGTCGGATTCGGCAGCTGGTTTGTGTGTGCACGTGCATGCTTGCCTAGGAGACTGCATAGTCGAATTCGGCAGCTGGTTCGTGTGTTTGCGTGTGCACGTGCGCGCGTGTCTAGGAGACTGCATAGTCGGATTCGGCAGCTGGTTCGTGTGTTTGCGTGTACACGTTCGCGTGTGCCTAGGAGACTGCATAGTCGAATTGGGCAGCTGGTTCGTGTGTTTGTGTGTGCGCGTGCCTAGGGGACTGCATAGTCGAATTCGGCAGCTGGTTCGTGTGCACGTGCGCGCGTGCCTAGGAGACTGCATAGTCGAATTTGGCAGCTGGTTCGTGTGTTTGTGTGTACACGTTCGCGCGTGCCTAGGAGACTGCATAGTCGAATTCGGCAGCTGGTTCGTGTGTTTGCGTGTGTACGTGCGCGCGTGCCTAGGAGACTGCATAGTCGGATTCGGCAGCTGGTTCGTGTGTTTGTGTGTGCGCGTGCGCGCGTGCCTAGGAGACTGCATAGTCGAATTCGGCAGCTGGTTCGTGTGTTTGCGTGTGCACGTGCGCGCGTGCCTAGGAGACTGCATAGTCGGATTCGGCAGCTGGTTTGTGTGTTTGTGTGTGCACGTGCGCGTGCGCGCGTGCCTAGGATATTGCATACTAGTACTAGTACTAGTAGTAGCCGGCAGCCGGTTTGTGTGTGCGTGTATGCATGCATGTGTGGGACATCTAGTCTGTGGGCCAAGTGGCAAAAATGTGAATTTTCGTTCCGAGGAAGAGGGCATCGCAATTTTTTTTACCCAGTCGATAGATGGGCTGGCATACATTGAAAAACCACTTGTCATTCCTGATTTTGTCCAAGGGTTGCACTGGGAGTAAAACTAAATTCAGTGCTGGTTGCTATGGTAACCGGAACCTAAAATGGACTTTCTGGCTAATTGTAATGGTTTTTTTTGGCAATATAACTTTTCTGGAGGATCATGTAAACAGAATGTTTCCTTCCTGGATCTCACTGGAAGGCTAAAACATGATTTGAACTTGAAAAACTCAAAACTGAGCAAACTGCACCGCACATGTAGAACGTCATGTCTTGTGAAGGTGCCCTTGAATTTGAATAGAACCATAATATAAGTACGTGCCCTTTTATGCACTACATGTACGAGTGCAATACAGTCTGTCAATAGCATGAGACCGTACACAATAACTATTTTGAAGTATAAAGGAGTCATCGCATACCATTTCATCAGAACATGACTGGCTGCAGTATGAAGCAGCCACTTTTCTGATCACTTTGTCTGTTCTAATAATATCTCAGACGGATCCATGCAACGTACAGAATATTCAGAATATGCCGGCGCATTGTGCATTGTATATTGGTTGCAGATTGTCCACAGAAAGAAACACAACACTGAACGTCTGCACAAGTCGCTGCAAACCAGATAGACAACCCATAACAGGGGCGTCACAGGGTGGCTGGGAGTGGTACGACCGGGGGTCCGGGGGTGTCCCCCGGAGAAAAAAATAAGGATTTTTCGGCTAACAGGCCACGTTTTAGCGCTCTACAGCCGCAAAGGAGGCCTGGCCGCGCCGCGAGGGTGGCCCTAGCACTTATTCGACAACCCCACTCCAGCTCCAAAAACATACTTCTCATGGATTTTTGGTATTTTCTGTACATCGTAGGTAGCCAAGCAAGGCAAATGGAACCCATTCAATGATTCAGGGCCATTGCCCTCGAAAAAATCGCAAAATTCGAAGTACAAGCGTGCTGCGCGGTCTAGCGCCAGCGGCTATGCAAAAACGTATGTCGTGTCCTGCAAAAGTCTGCCGCGTCGCGTACACTATGTACACGTCCGGCCTGGGCAGTCGCGAAGTAATTATTTTAGTTGTTTTTAGAGAGAGAAGAAGATCCTTTGTTTTTGTTCGGTGGGATTGAAAGATCTGCCAGTGGACCGGAGAGCTACAACAATGGAAGCAGAAGAAAGCGCTTGCGGAATCTTCTCTGTCTTCGTGGCAACAGGACTTGTCTTTAGTTTGCGAGAGACTTTCGTCCTGTCGTCGCGGACGAAATTCTTGTTGCTGCTACCTGAAAACTCGGGGAACGAAACGATCGTAAATCGTTATAATATAGGTGAAGCGGGTCGTGTCGGTGAACAGCTGCAGAATATTCTGCCGCCGCGGAGCAGCAGTCCAAACACTTTTCAGCTTCGGAGAATGAAGCGCTTCCCTTTTCTGTTGACAAGCGCTGCGTTCGCGGGTGTAATGCATTTTCGAATCCGCTTGCAGTAGATCGTCAGGAGCCAGAGGTACTAGGTAGGTGTCGTTGTGGAAAGAATATAATTATTATGTTGTAGCTGACAAGTGACATACATGTAGTGTCTCTTGACGTGCTGATCGCCATTGTAACATGGTAGATCTTGGAAAATTTTAGTTCTGGACCCAGTGATCGCCGCCAGCTCAGCTCTGTTTCCGTCAAGTTTGCAGTGAATGCGTCCGTGAGGAATCCATCGTCTGGTTATCTCTAACCGTGACTCAAACCGCCTATCGTAATGGATAGCCGCCTGGAGTCTTGGGCGTAGCTGCTAGTGCTAGGCATCAAGTCTGTATGCTCCTTGCAATGAAAGTAACACAGTTGCGATGTTTTGTACAAGTCCGAAGATCCTTGAATTTTTTTATTGCTTTTTCGGATGAATTGGGTGGACCATCCTGGACGAAAAGTGGTACGACCATGGTCGTAGTGGTCGTACCGTGTGTGACGCCCCTGCATAAAGAATGATCAACAACACAAAAACATGACAGTCTAATCGTACAAGCCCATTATATGGCCTAGGTCATACCTTGAGTCCATAAATTATGGACTCTTGGCCATACCATGTACATAGTACGTGCACATTATAGTGTTTTCCGTACATTTCAGCACAATCATCGGTTGTTTTTGTTTACACAGTGGTTTTCAGCAATGTACTTCTCACTTCCTTGATACACAACTTGGTGTCGGCGTATAAGCCCATGTCCGCGTATAAGCCCATGTTCTCGTATAAGCCCACCGAAATGTCCTTGTGAAACAGATAAGCCCATGGGCTTATCCGCGGGATTCTACGGTAATTGGTTGCAGGGCCCCGGAAAGCAGGTGGAACGGATCACGAGAGTAGGATAAAAGCTGGGAAGACATTGGTAGGTACATTGTACAACAGTTGAGCGCTTTCGCCTTGATGGAATGAAGGCTGACACAGCTGCAGAAGACACTGCTGAGTTGTGAACATGTGCACGTTGAGATGGCTGCACACAAGTATGCCATTTGCACAGAGGGTTGTGACTTCTCCCAACAATGCTTCTTTGCACAGATCATTGCCGATCACGACTCCTATGGGAAGAGACGCTGCAGTTGCTTGCTGATGCATTGGCTTGGCATCCAGCCAACGCAGTTTTGAGCTCTAAACCTGTATGCATGCAGCACCGTGGCCAAGGTGGTTCACCATACTGATACTGGTAAAAAGTTTTGAACTTTGAAACATATGGTGCAAAGCAACAATTGCGGCAAGAGTAATGTGCTTGGGGCTGTACTGCAGTACAGCCGCACATGAAAACTAATCTTCCCCAAGCGAGCAGGTCTGGCGGTGCAACTTTGGACTAGTGTGACATTCTCATCTGTCTTTGTAGCCAGAGTTGCATCGCCAATTGTAAGTGCTTAATCCTCCTCTATATCCTCCTCCCCTCGTCGTGATGGCCGGCGAGTTGATGAAAAGGCGAAGAAAGTGCTTACAAATGGGTTACAATGCATCGCTGCATAGACACACTCAGATTCAATAGTCGTATCGGCATAACGAAGATGATTTCATCCTCAAAGTAGTCAAGCCCATACTGAGGCATTTGTTGCAGTACACCGTTCCAGCGTTGAAGCTCTCGTACATATTGCGATAATAGTTATACTGCGTATGATGAGACGAGAGATCGGCCAATGGCAACTTGGTCATTTCGTCTTTTCTCATATTTGCTGCCTGTAAGAACTTGGCAGAAGCATGTATTCATATTTGCTTTTTGATCGGACTGCGTTCTTCCGGTATGATTGCTGCCGTTTCACCTTTCCCCAAATGTGCAGCTCTTTGTGCTGGGAGCCAACGTTACGACGGGAGCAGCTAGAGAAGAGCGTGTGCGGGGGCGACGCGAAAGCCTCCATTTCCAGGCGAAACATCACTTCCACAAGGCTCCCTGCGCTCAGCTTAACTTAATTATCTACAGCAACAGCTTCATTTGTTCCTAATTATTTCACGCAATTCTCCACATCAGTATCTGGGTGAAGGGCTATAAGTATAACTCCTCATCACGACGCTTTATTGCTACTTGCCCACAGACTTGCAAAGATTCACTTCAAATTAAATCATGATTACCTCAAGACGTACAGGCAGTAGCCCAGTGCACACCAATGTCAGAGCTACACGTACACAGCATGTACACAGCATGTACACAGCATGTACACAGCACGTACACAGCATGTACACAGCATGTACACAGCATGTACACAGCATGTACACAGCATGTACACAGCATGTACACAGCACGTACACAGCACGTACACAGCATGTACACAGCATGTACACAGCATCCTGTGGAATAATGGAGAAACGGAAAGCAAGAAACAATCCAGAAATGGAAGGACGTACGTGGAGATGGCTCAACAATAAAAATAATTGCACAAACTGGGTGACCTGTCAGTGTCGGTGTCACGCGATCAGTTCTCAAACCTGGAGTCGAACAGCTGAGATGCATGGATGCAAACAGTGCAAGCTACACTAGATGCGTGCACTGCACGGCACATGGATCTATGCAGGAGTGCATGCACTTACCATGCTTACGCCTACCTACAATACATAATCTACATGTACATGCATGGATGCATGGTGCATACAAAACAATGGTCGCCGAGAGAGAAATTCTCAACATGGAAGGCGCTCGTTGGATACCTTTCAGAAAGTTGTCAGAGTGACAACAACCGGAATCCTGGTCAGTAAGGTATCTAGAGTAGACGTGGCCAATAAAATTGCGGTGCCCAAAAGTCGGAACGAGATTTTTCTAGGAGGCCTTTTTTCAGGTTTGGCCCACGGACTAATCAGCTAATATCGGTAGATGTCTGTGGATTACTGTGTACTGTGGTGGACTGCGACAGCACACCGTGATTATGTGGCAAGACATTCACCTGGCTGGTGGCCGGCACTGCCAGTCTGGTGGTTTGCATCTGTGTGATGTTGAGTGGAAAATGCGCAGTGGCAGATAGCTTTTGCCTTTTGCCGGTACTGTATCGGATTGTGATCAATAGGCAACCTCTTGCATTGGCTGTCAGGTTGGATAGGATCATCAGTGTTTGTATTTAGAACAGTAATGACGTACTTGCTATTGTACTACCGTAATGTCACATTATTAGCTCCAGTGTTCATATCATTCTATACTGGAGTATTCTACGTATAAAGCGAAGTTTCGGGCGAACATCGATCGTTGAGCGTCCGTTTCAACCAGCTTGGTTCGATAAATTCAACTGGTTGCACTACGACGAGTCGACGGATTCTGTGACCTGCCATTTGTGTTCCTTTGCTGATCAGCAAGGGAAGCTGAAAGCGCCATCGAAGGACTCGCCTTCATTTCCAAGGGCTTCAAGAATTGGAAAGATGGCACCGAGGGGTTCCGTCGTCACGAAAAGTCGCTGTGTCATATCGACGCTGTCCAGGTGATGCTTGTGCTACCGCAGACTGTCCCGGACGTTGGTGAGGCGCTAAGTCAAGCCCATGCCAAGGAGAAAGCCCTGAATCGGCGAATGTTCGTGAGAATCCTAGAGAACATGAAGTTTTGGGGTCGCCAAGGTCTTCCCTTGCGTGGCCACGACGATGCAGAGTCGAACTTTATGCAACTGCTGCCACTACAGAAGCTACATACTCCCGAGTTGCGTGCTTGGCTGGAGCGACGAGTGGATAAGTACTGCTCCCCCGAAATCCAGAACGAAATCCTTCAGCTAATGTCGCATAGCATACTCCGGAATGTGGCCAAGTCCATTCATGCTGCTGAGGTGTTCAGCGTAATGGCCGATGAGTGCGCAGACGTATCTAACAAGGAACAGCTGGCGTTGTGCTTCCGGTGGGTTGACCAGGAGTTGGAAGCTCATGAAGATTTCGTTGGTTTGTGCCAGATTGACAACATATCTGCAGATACGATCGTTGCGGCTATCCGGGACTGCATGCTGCGACTCAACCTCCAAGTCAACCGTTGCCAAGGCCAGTGCTACGACGGTGCCTCAAATATGGCTGGCCACAGATCTGGTGTCACGAAGCAGTTGGGAGATGAAGAGCCAAGGGCTCTTTTTGTGCACTGCTACGGGCACTCTGTGAACCTGGCAATGTGCGACACCATCAAGACGACTGTGCTGACCAGAGATTCCCTCGATGTCACCAGCGAGTTGATCAGCAAGTTGATTTTAAAAGTACTCGCCGAAACGGAATGGCCGATTTGACGTCCTGAAGGGTGAGATCTCGCCCGACACACCAGGATTCCGTGTGCTGTGCCCGACCCGCTGGACAGTGCAAGGCAAGAGTCTGCAAAGCATTAGGGCTTGGCGGATAATGCCGGCAGAAAAATTGGCAGAATTCGGTACATTTTCTAGTAATTTTATGCATGTTTGGTATGTGGATAAAGAAATGGAGCAGAATTCGAGGAATTGCCCGCCATAAGGTTTGTATGGTTCTGCCAATTTCACTGCTTTTCGAGCAGAATCTGCCACCTTTTCGAGCATTATCGGCCAAGGCCAACAAAGCATCCTGGATAACTATCTGGTCTTGCAAGAACTGTGGGATGAAGTTCTGGCTGGGAGTGTGGACCCCGACGTGCGTGCTCGTGTAATCGGAGTGAAGGCTCAAATGGAGACTTTCAACTTCTTCTTTGGAATCAGTTTGGCCCGTCTTGTCCTGGCACATGGTGACAACCTCTCTGTTTCCCTCCAGAGTTCAACAATGTCTGCTGCCGAAGCCCAGAAAATAGCACGTTTGACGGTGGACACAATCACAAAGATGCGCACAGAGAATTCATTCTCGATGTTCTGGGAGGCTACTGTGGCAAAAAGGCACCAGTTTGATGTCTCTGAACCACAGTTACCTCGCAAACGCAAACGTCCACAGAGGTATGAAGGTGGAGATGAGCCAGCATACCACCCCAGCTCCCCGGAAGGCCACTATCGGCAGCTGTATTATGAAGTGCTTGACAGTGCCAAGTCCTCCATCCAGACCCGGTTTAATCAGAAGGGCTTCGCTATATACACGCAGATGGAGAACCTTCTCTTGAAGAGTGCCAAAGGGGTTGACGCTACAGACGAGTTCAAGGCAGTGACAGAGTTGTACGGCGAGGATCTCGACTCCAACCTCCTTCTGACCCAGTTGTCCCTCCTGCAGACGCAGCTGACCTCTGATGACGATGTCACGTTTAAGTCTGTGCTGAAGTTCTTGCGGGGCTACTCCACATCTCAGAGGCAGCTTCTGTCTGAAGTTGTGAAGCTGGTGCGCTTGATTCTGGTAAGCCCAGCTACCAACGCCATGAGCGTGAGATCCTTCTCAGCAATGCGGAGAATCAAGACCTATCTCCACTCCACAATGGGCCAGAGTCGGTTAAATTCAGTCATGCTCCTCCACACGCACAAGGACAGGACAGATGCACTGTCTGTGGTGGAGTTGGGCAATGCCTTCGTCGATGTCACCGGCAGTGATCACCGCCGCTCAATATTTGGCACATTCACGGATGCTGATCTTGCAGCTTAGTAACCCAGCTAGCAGTTTACCTGTGATTGCTCTTCTTGTCTTTTTTCTTTGGCTTTCTTACACAGCAGCGGGACCATGCACAGTAATAAATATTATACTTATTGTTTCAATGCATATTGTACGCCATCTGTCACATATTATTATTTCTTGCCTGCATTTCTTTTCCTCGCTAGTTTTGCTGAGAGTTTTTGTACACCTATTCAATGGTGGATGAGATAACAGGCTTTGAATGCTGTCCATAGTTGTTTTCTTGGAAGTAGTAAAACAATGCCAAAAGTGCCCAGAATGCAGGATTTTGCACCCTAATTTCAAACAATTTCCGAGGGGACATCCCCCCCCCGGACCACCGCCAACGGCGGTGCTACGCGCATGCGTATTCAGTAATTGAATGGTTTATTTGGGAATTCCGCTAGGACCTGAAAGGTTTGACGTGGAATTCAGGTCACACTAGGAGGTGAAGGCTTAAAGAGAAAGTTTATATCAAAAAAGGTATTCTTTGTAGACCAAAGAGTGGTATATTAATTATACCAGTCTTTGGTCTACAAAGAAAACCTTTTTTTTGATATTACAATGAGAGTGGCTAACCATTGGCTTGTCCACCAACTCTAAGAGAAAGTTTACACAAACTACAACCTTGTCCCATTGATATTCCTGCTCTTTCTCACAATTCGGCCTTTGATGAGCTCATTTATGCACAAGCAAAAGCCGCGGCAAAGTCTGACAGTGGAGAATGAGACAGCTACAGGGGTGGTGCGGGTGGGAACACACTGTCACATTCTCCGCCTTCACATCCTAGTGTAACCTGAATTTCACGTCAGACCTTTCAGGTCCCAGCGGGATTCCCAATTACACTTCGAAGGCTCCGGCTACGAATGTGACAGTGTGATGTTTAGAGGAAAGACCTCACACGAGTAGCAAGGTAATTGTATTTGAATTTTATTATATTTAAGGATTTCCCAAAGGCTTTGGGCCTGTCGTGGGGATCTCCTGCGAGAAGAATGTAATGACAACTTTATGTAGAGGGAGCAGTTAATTGAGGATAGGCTAAGGAAATAGATCGAGGCATACAAAATATGGTAATTAAGGAGTTGGGATACCGTCAGTGTAATGAATAATTATATCGGCGAAAATGCTGATAGAGAGAATGCTTGAATTCGGGGAGGCTGGTTATAGAGGTAAGAGAAGGCGGCAGGCGATTCCATAGCATTGAAGCTTTGTTGGAAAAGAGGGAAGGAAAACGCACACCGTGATAATTGATGTTAACTGACTGTTCCTTATGCACAGATATACAGAATTCCCTCAAATATTAGGCTAGGGCCTGTTTTGGACTTCCCACTCTAAATAAAGAATACAAACAAACAACAATCAAAGAAAAAGTTTGTTTGGTCTTCTTGGACTTGAAGACAGTGAAAGGTGAACATGTTGGAGGTGTTCTGGATATATATGGATAAGTTTAAATAGTGTAGCAAGAGCTGATACTTATCTGCGAAAGTGCAAGGACTCTAAGTCACAAAGGCCGTTTAACTCGGATTTCGTCTCGCATCTATCTACAATTGATATTTTACGTAGCAAATACTTCCTAGCTACTCTGGCTTGTAAAAATGTTTAAACGCTCCAGCTCAGGTTTGGTGATGGTATAGGACCAGGCCGAGGTGGCGTGTTCCAGGGCGGATCGGACATAACCTTTATATAGAAGTAGAAAGGCTGTGGGGGCAAGATGCCGTCCCATGAAGCATAGCAGATGAACACGACGTTGGAAGGTTTTCAGGATGGTCTGAAGGTGGATGGTGTTGGACTGGTCGGGTTTTAAATACACTCCAAGATGCTTCGTAGCTTCAACGATGGTGATAGGTTGGGAAGAGAGCTGGATAGGGTGGTCGTTACTGTAGTTACGGATCTCAGTCGTTTTGGCTGGTGAGAACTCTCCACCGACGTTGCTGGCCCATAGTCGGCAGGCAGAAAGGTCGCTCTCTAGACGAGATTGGTTCCACTGCAGGGAATTCTTGTTATCATGTACATACAGGAGGGTGACATCGTCAGCAAATAAGTATGGGGTGCAGTAGGTGATTGATGAGGGCAGGGAATTAACAAATAATAAAAGAGGGCTGGAGCAAGATGCGATCCCTGTTGGCCTCCACAGGTGAGGACCTTGGCCTCGGAATACTGTCCTTCCAACCTTACAGACAGCTTTCGCTCGGATAAGAAGCTTCGGAGCCAGCCGACTGCTGGCCTATCAGCAATTCCTTCAAATGCATTTTGCAATGCTTGATGATCCACACGATCAAAAGCTTCTTAAAGTCGAGGAAAACACAGTCGAACTTCAGCTTCTTGTCATTGCACTCAGCCATTTGATGTGTCAGCAAGAATAATGAATGGCTAATGTATATTGCCATCTACACTACACTTCGTCAAGAGAAAGAAGCCGGAAGGAACCCGCTTGCTATAACCACTGAGGACAGAGACACTTCCTTTCTCAAATCAATATGAAGCAGATTCAACTGTAGTGACCAGGGAGTCGAATTTGACGACTCCCTGGTAGTGACACGAGCAAAGCAACGGCATGGACAGTGAAATAATCAGCAGGAGCAGGCATGATCACTATTAGAAATCATGCATAGAAATCGGAAGCACAGCCCGCACTTGTAGAAGACCAATCCTGACCTATCCGAGATATTCAGGCAGAAGTTCATCGTTCTGGTCTGGAGGTCTCGGAATGAGCACGCAAGTTCTGAACTGCAAGCCCTCCTAGTTCCTTCGTCAGCTGGCCCAACTAGGTTGCACTCCACCATGGGTCTGCGCCAACCGCCAGTTTCCACCAGGTTCGGCAAGGGTTGCCTCGCGTTCCGGGGCGCCCAGCTGTGGAACACATTACCCAGCGATATACGTGCCATCTCCACGCTCCGCCAGTTCCGCGCCAGCATGATCCCGCACACACTTACTGGCCTTAGCACCTAGAGTACCAAACGTCCTGTTTGATGATCAGCTGGCTTAGTTTTTCTCCACCTCTATCCTAATTACATCAGTCCCCAATTTCATTTATTACTGCTTTCTATCTGCATTCGCCACCTTTTCATTGGGCAGATCTGCCCGTTTGGTTTGCGAATTAAAATAAACACAACAACAACAACCTAGTGCTAACCGTCAAGACGGCTTGGCGAAAAGAAGCTTGGCTGTGCGGTCGCCAATCATGGTATTATAGTGGCGGATGAATGTGTTGGGCCGTGACCATGGTGACCAGTCACCTGTCGCCAACACATCCGCCAGTGACACCCCGGCTTGTCGTGCAGCGCCAGTGGAAGCATCCCGCGGGGAATGGGCTGAGAAGTATGAATGGAATTCGTGACTAAAGAGAATGATGAAACTACAAAAGGATTGATAAAGAAACACAATGGATGAAAATGCAATACAAATTTTTAAAATGTGAACCCAGAAAAGGAAAAAATGTACCCCAAAAGAAAAACGTGTGTAATTAACACTATGTACACTATGTAGACCAGGGAGTCGTACTCAAACTACGACTCCCTGGTGTACACTAGTGTATGGGATGTACTTGTATCACCACTCCAAAACTACAGCAGCACATGATACAGATTAAAATACAATGAAAATCATAAGAACTAAGACAAACAACACCTCACATATGCCCCTCGACAACAGCCAACTCTCGGAGTGCATTGACTGAACGGTGGTATGCCGAGCGGGAGCCGCGGATGCACATTATGGCAGCTCTTAGCAGAGCGAATGCTAACCGAGTCCGTATTTAGCACATCATTTCTCCATATTAATTTATTGTTGTCGTTGCTCCAGAATACCGCACAAACGCTTGAAGAATCGGTTGGTTTCTGGCGACGTACATCCGGTCGTGGAGAAGATGAGGGGAGTGAAGGTCCCACGATCGACATGTACGATACGCTCAGCGTATTCCAACTTCTTTCTCCGTTCGTGCTCGAGGAGAAGGGTATCAACTGGCTTCTTTGCATATGACGCCGCATCCGGACGAAGAACCCGCGAACATCCACAAATGCGTCCTGGGCCCTGGTCGAGAAACCTTGCACCTCTATGTCAGCTCTTGCGTCATCCGCAACATTCGCGCTGGCTGCTCGGAACATTTCACCAGTGACAGGAGCAAGCGGAGGCTCAACCAGTACACTCTTGCACACCTGACCTCTGTAAGCAGGTCGGCTACCAAATCCCTCACCTCGTTGTGGCGGATTGTGGGAAAGCCTCCCGTTGGACAGCACATGGCATGAGTTACCGAGAAGGTCTCTCCACAAACACATAATGGCTGGCACATCCTTCAAAGGATCACCACGTGGAACTCCCTGCCTACCGAGATTAGGATATCTGAAACCCGTGGTGTATTCAGCCGGCACTTTCAGACCCATTTCCACAGGTATAGATTCCATCCTCGAGGTTTTCTCACTTCCTGATTACCCCCCTTCTTTACCACTACCCTTTTCGCTTACTTCTACTCAGACTTCTTAATTAACCTCTTCACATTAATCTTTTTTTATCTTAATATTTTCTTCCTTTTAAAAATTGCACCCTATTGTACACGTATTGTACACGTATATTTATTCTCGGAGACCCCGTTGATTTAGGCTTCGGCCTTTGGGGAATCCCTCAAATAATAATAATAAAATGCCACTCACAACGTAGGGCAAGTACATCCCGAAAGTCACCCTCTGACAGATGGTAGCCATGTTCATCAAGTGGCAAAGCATTCAGCCACGTTGACACTCCCTTCTTTGAGAGCTGGTCCAGCCTCCAAACAACGGCAGATGAAGCCGAGTGGCCAATCTCATTGTACATTATTCTCTTCCTCCTGGCACAGCGGACTTTGCTCGCAACGCAGACTCGATTATAGCACGTGGAGATCTACAGGTAACCACGATGCATAGTGTTGGTTAACAATCTCAGCCACCTGGAAATCAGTTACGGACCGAGACGAGGTTAATTCACAAGCCGCCATCCGCTGGAAATGCGGGATAGCAAGCCCG